TAGATTTCTTATTAAACTAATGCATTTTTATATAAAAGTACACTGATCTTGTTTAAAATAATGATCACTTTTATCCACATACACCGACAATCGACACTTGTTGACGAACACTTTGCACTCTCAAACACCTTTTTATTATTAATATAGACACTTTCACATACAAGCACCTTCGTATTTTACACAAGCACTGAATATTCTATATTTCACACCATAATTTATATATTTTCTAAATTAAATTGCATATTTTCAACCCCTTGTACAAATAACCACAGAAATTCACACACATTTGCCGCTTTTCTTCTGTTTTGCTGGCATATTCCGCATTTGAGGCGAAAATCAAAAATCTGCCGCGGACAGAGTCAAAAGGGAGACGAACTCCTCATCTCAACCTTTCAGATACGGTCAAAATCGTCGCGGCACATTTTCAAAGTAACGAGTTGTCGCTTCTTATACATTTACGTTCTTTGGCATTTGTAAGATAGCTTCGGAAACGTATTTTAACGGATTTAATCAAATAAAAAATTTAGAAAATAGGCTATTTTACATCCTAGTACCAAAGAACGTAAATCTATTTACCTTCTTTGGTGCTATGCTATCATCATGTTCATTAGTTTTCAAATGTAAGAATTTTACTAACTACTACAAAATCTAGATTTAAGTTCCTTTAAGATATTTTCATTACGCGATTTTTGATATGCGTAATTTTAAAAATGATAGACCATCAGTTTTTTGACAATGAAATCCACAAACGTTCCACATCAAATTTTTTCTTGGCAACGCTGTTTTTGACGTTTCTGTGCAACAAAAATAAATTTGCTCCAATTGTTTGTAGTAATTTTGCAGTAAAAAGAAACATTTTGCATGTAAAAAGATAGTCTTACTATGTTTAAACCACTTGTGTATTAAATTGTAGTTGGCTACATAAAATAAAAGATAGTTCTTGTGAAACAGCATAAATTTCATCACAAAACTGAAAAGAAAACCACCCAGAAAATCCTGAAAGCAAGAGAAGAAGGAAAGCTAGTGAATAGAGGAACAAAGAAAAATACTAAAAAACGAGAAAGTACAAGATAAGCTGCGTTTTACATACTGTAGTGTAGTGTATGTAAAAACAAAAAAATACGTAAATTATAGTCTGCCACCGTTTACACTTCATAAAATATCAATTTCGGTTCCATACGGCTGCTACGCGAATAAAACACCAATAGTAATAAAGGCGTAATACAATAGTGGCCACTTAAGCATAGTCTTGTTGTTGCAGTAAAGTGCCAGCGCCCATCTGCGATCGCACCCAGTCCTCCGCTGTATACCACCTACTTGCACATACATTTGGCAGTTGTGGAACAGTGTACGTCCGCAAACATGGCCAATACATTGGAAGAACAACAAAGTTTACGTGAATGCGAGAACTACATTCAGGCACACGGCATTCAACGTGTTCTCAAAGATTGCATTGTTCAGCTTTGTGTTAGTCGTCCTGAAAACCCCATTCAGTTTCTCCGTCAATATTTCCAGAAACTAGAAAAGGTAAGACAAACTTATGCATAAAAATATGTATGTCCATTAAATCTAAAAATGCCTGTTTTTAAGTTTCAACTAGCTTTCCTGTTTGAAATTTCCAATAAAAAAGTGCAGAAGCCACTCATTGAAGTGCTGCGTTGGTGTCATTGTACACGCTGATTCATGAAATTCATGAACCAGTAATAATGCGCACTTACATTGTCTAAAAACAGCGTTTATGTAAAATCAAGTAGGTGGCAGCTACATATACATTCGTATATCTGTACCCATGTATGTAGCTAAGTGAGGTATAACATTGACGACTTAAGTTTATACTTATTTGGTGTGGGTTGTCATTTGTAACCAAAGAGATTGCAAAGAAATGCTTGAAAATAAATGCATATGTATGTACATATGCAGGTACACTGCCGGAACAAAGTATTGGCACAGCAAATTTTTCACAATATATGCAACAATTTTCATTCTAATATTTTTCCGCTAATTTCGTATAAAAATATGGTTCATTCTACAGCAAAAAACATAAAAATATAATTCCTAAACTTTGTGGAAAACTCGCGAAAATTCAGCAAATTTTCCTTCAAATTTTCAACTTTTTAATCAGATTTTTTAGAATTGAGTGCAGATTTGTAGCCCAATCAATTTTATTATAAAAAAATACAAGTTTTAAGTAGCTAGGAATTACCGCTCAAAATTTCAAAATTTTTAATTAGAATATATAGAAAATGTTGGGGGCGTGCAGTTTTGTAGCCCATTCAATTTTAGTATAATAAAGTGGAAGTTTCAAGTCGCTAAAAATTACCGTTGAT